GAGAGAGAGAGAGAGAGAGAGAGAGAGAGAGAGAGAGAGAGAGAGAGAGAGAGAGAGATGGAGAGGGGAGAATATCCAAAGAACGGTAAGAGTGAGGGAGGAAGAGATTCAGGGCGGAGAGAGATCCCAATGGGATGGTAATCTTCGGGCCACTATCCTGTCTTCATGTAGGTAGGCCCGTGCTCACTCCGAGTCTCGCCCTAGACGATTCTAAATGTTAGAAGATAAAAAGAGAAAAAAAAAATGATGACGAGGTATTGATTGTGTGATAGTACCACATCCTTTGAGCGCTTCTTGTCTATTAGTAGTATGCAGTGCACCTTTTTTTTTTTTTTTTTTTCTGTGTGCTGCTATGCTGTGGTCTCTTCGCTTCCGGAGTTCCTCCCGCCATTCTGTTGCTATTACGTATTACCGGCATTGTTGACTCCAACGAAAAAAAATGCTGATCAGCATTTTTTTCCCAATCTCCTTTCTCTACTACTGGTGGGGATTTTGCGAGCCCTGTTTCATCTCTTCTCTCCTTTTTCATATTTCGCGCGCCGGCATTGTTGACGCCAACAAGCAAAAAATGCTGATCAGCTCTGCGTCGGAATCAATTGAAGAACTGAAAATCGCTTCTGAACGATTTGAATCATGGCACGATGTTCGTCAATCCCACAACCAATCCTCTCAGTGGAGCCTTCTTCCACTCATCAATAGATTGATTAATAGATTGATTAGAATAGGTGTCTGGATTGACTATAATCGGTGAATAGATCGTCTAAACTCGGGTGAGCGCTTGATGGCGAGTAGATTGATTTAAATACGTGACTGGATTGATTAAAATCGGTGAATAAATCGTCTAAAATCGGTGATGACCAAAATCGGTGAACACCAAGCGGTCATTGGTTTCGTTGGTTGATTTTTCCTCTTGTGTGTTTCTTCACACTCACCGCCATCATCGAGTACTATTTTAATTACTCCATCATCGTCGAGTACTATTTTAATTAATCCATCATCATCGAGTACTATTTTAATTAATCCATCGACATGCTAAACACATCATCTGATTTTTATCGCACTCCATCATCTTACTGTAAACAAGCTTTGAATTCTGTTCCACACAATAGACGTCGTTCGTATTATCGTTCCTGCTGTATGCTTCCTTTCCTCTCTCTCTCTCTCTCTCTCTCTCTCTCTCTCTCTCTCTCTCCTTTTTCT